CCCCCCCCCCGCGCTTGGTCCTCCCCTAACCTGCGCTCCCCTGTCTTCCTCCCTCGGCCAGCATCCACTCGAGCGTGCTGAAGGATGAGGCTGAGCCCCCTGTGGCCGGGGGGCCCCAGCTCCCCGAGGTCAGCCTGGGCCGCTTGGATTTTGAGGTGTCCGACTTCTTCCTCTTTGGCTCGCCCCTGGGCCTGGTCCTGGCCATGCGGAGGACGGTGCTGCCCGGACTGGATGGTGGGTGTGGCGCGGGCTGGGGTCCAAGATGCCTTTGGGTCACTAGGCCACTGTGTGAGGGCCTGGAACTGGGGAGAGTGGGGGCGGGGAGGGCCATGGAGTTGGGGTAGCTGAAGAGAGAGGCGAGGAAGAAGGCGTGGGGGCGAGGAGAGCGGGGCATCCTCCCCAGATGGGCAAAGGTGAGGCAGCTCCTGGTGGATTTCGCTGTCCCTGTCACATGCCCCAGACTGACTTGTGCCCCCATTGTCCAGCTGCCATGCTGTCAGGGAAGAGAAGCCCTATTGCACCACCCCCTCCATCCCCAGCGCCCAGGCAGGCCCTCTGCAGCCAGGTTGGTCTTACTGCCCCCTGCAGATGCCCTGCTCACCTCAGTGCTTTTGTTCTCGCAGTCCCTGCAGCCTTCAGTACCTTCTCCCCGTTCCTCTAAAATACACACGGAGGTGATTTGCACCAGCAGATGGCTGAGCAATGACTCTGAGGATATAAGAGGCTGGAGGCACCTCGGAGAGCAATGGATCAGGGATTCTCGAATTTCCTTAGCACCAAAGTTTACCAACAGCCTGCACTATGGAACAGATAAAAAGTGTGTGTGTGGGGGGGTCTGCTAGAAGTGGGGAGAGGAGGCAGAATCCCACGGCCGTCCTTAATGTTGCTAAGGAAACCTAGGGCTCCCCGGATGCTGGACCGTCCAGTCCTCTAAGAGGGACAGGGAGGCGCGTTGATGAGCTGAAGCCTCAGTGGAGACACCTGCTGGTCAACGGGGGACGCGTTCTGTCAGCTCTGACAAACGAAGAAGTCTACTTACTACGGGGCCTGGGAATTGAGCGGGCCGAAGGAAGGGCTGCTGATCCTGACTGAAAGATCCTAGGTCTGCTTCACAGTTCAGGTGGCAACTCAGTGACAGCTAGAAGAATTTAAAGGAGTTTGACCAGTGGAAATAGTGGAGGGCGTCCTGCTAGGAGGAGGGGCAGCTTGAGCAGAAGCGCAGAGGAAGGAAAGCAGCAAGCCGGGCTGGGGAGTCAGCGACGTCCACCATGTCTGTAGTGCTGGGCGCCTACAGCGGTGCTTCTAGGTGGGGCAGGTTGGCAAGGCATTGAAGGCCAAGCTGAACCTAATGGCTTTGATCCTGTCGGTAGCAGGGAGCCATGGCAGGTTCTTGAGCAGAGGAATAGGTTACTCAAAGCTGCAGTCAAGGGAGCCTCCTAGGGCCAAGGGAGCAGGTGCTCAAGGGGCTTCCCCCATGTATCCTCCCACTTCCCACCCCCACCCAGGTTTCCAGGTACGTCCTGCCTGCAGTCAGGTCTACAGCTTTTTCCACTGCGCAGACCCCTCTGCCTCCAGGCTTGAACCACTGCTGGAGCCCAAGTTCCACCTGGTGTCGCCCGTCAGCGTGCCCCGCTACCAGAGGTTCCCGCTGGGTGACGGACAGTCCCTCCTCCTTGGTAGGCCCTCAGGAGTATAAGAGCGTGCTGAGCCGGAGGCTGGGCCCCAGCTAGGAGGTGCCCCAGGGCCACCCTCTCTGGTCCAGCCCCTCCAAGCTAGTCAGCTGTCAGAGTGACTAGACTCACCTGAACAAGGACTGTGTGCTCTGTGCGGTGGGGGGGGGGGGGGGCAGAGGGGGGGGGGGGGGGGGGGGACAGGAAGACAGCTGACTCACCTGCCTTCCGAGCAGCCCACCTGTGTGAGCACCTGTTCTGCAGGAGGCATCTTTGGGCTCTGCCCCATGACCAGCTCCCATGGCCGGGACCAGCATAATACTTGAGTTGTCAGACCTGATTTTAAGTCCGGGGATCCATGCTGAGTGCTATGCCTAGAGCCCAGCCTAGGGGCAGGGCACGGAGTGGGTCACCCTGGAGGGCTTCATGGAAGAGGGGGCCTTCAACCAAGGCATCGGACAGGTGGAGAAGAGCTGGAGGATGGGGGTTGGAGAGATCTTCTGGGTGGAGGGAACGTCAGGAGCAAGGGCAGGTGGGTTGGGGGGGGGCGTGGCCTCCAGGGCTTAAGTGGGGTGAGCCAGGCATGGACTGGGGTGAGGCCAAGGGGCGGCCTCTACTGGACAGTCAGGGGCTTGGAGATCAGAGCCTTGGCTCCGTACCACAGTTCAGGAAGTTTAGCCAAGCCTGTTCAGAGATTTGGGCCAGATTGGGGGCGGGGGCTGCTGTGCAGGTGGCTCATTCAGGATTAAAATCCAATTGACCCCCCCCCCCTTGACCCCATTTCAATGGAAACTTAATTTCCAAAGTCCTCTTTTGTCAGGAGCTTCCGTAGATCGAAGGGGCTCTAAAACCTTCCCACATCTTAAAATGTGTCACTCTCTGCTCAGGGCAACCCCCTGCCCCCAGGGGGCGCCCTCGCTCCCAGGCTGGAGGCCCCATTCATTTCCAAGCTCAGCCACAGTCCCCTGTGGCTCAGGGAGGGGTCTGATACAAGAGCACATGGTAATGTGCCACCTGTGACCTCAGCTGGTGCTTTTGGGGCAGTGTCCCAGACGCGCCCTCGGCAGCTCTACTGGGGCTGGATGTGATGGTTGGGACCCTGACTCGTGCCTGCCTAACCCATGGCTTGGAGGAGGTGAAATCTGACTGCATACTACGGTGAGGGGGTCCCGTCAGGCCCTGGGGTAAGAGGTGCGGGCTGCCCGCTGGGCAGGTGAGGGAGCAGGCCGGGCTCAGCCTCCCGCCCAGCACGGGGCTGGCACACACGGGCAGCTTCATCTGAGGCCCACCACTCGGCCTTGACTGTGAAATTCCCCCTCCAGCTGACGCCCTGCACAGCCACAGCTCCCTCTTCCTGGAGGGTAGCTCCCGGGGCAGCCCACCGCTTCTGGAGACCCCTGCCTCACCCCCTCACGCCCCGAGGTCCCAGCGCCCGGGGCGGAGGATAAGCCAGGGCAGCTCCCACAGTGAGAGCTCGGAGTCCTCGGACAGCCTGGCCCCCGTGGGCACCTCTCGCAGTGAGTGAGGGTGTCCCGGGCCCTGCCTGGATTCGTGGGAGAGGGAACCCTCTTCTGGGTGGCCGCTGGCCCACTGCCGGGGCTGCTGAGGGCGGGGGAGGAGGGGACAAGGGAATCCAGACCGAGCTCTGACCTCAGAGAGAACTGTGACCTCTGACCCTGGACAGGGGCCCTGACCTCTGACCATGGACTGAGCCGTGACCTTGCCAGGCCTCGACTTAATCCCAACGTTCAGTTTTCCCCCGGGAGTCCCTGTGACCAACAGCCCTGGGATGAAACTGTGCATGTCTCCGTGGGTCAGGCCCCCATCCTGGGGACCAGTTTACAGCACGCGCCCTGGGGGAGGGGTGGGTACGCGACGGGGCTGGGGGGTCGTTGAAGGTGGAGGGGAGCTCATTCTGAGCCGAGCGCTCTGGCCCCGAACTTGTGCCCCGAGCGGCACATCCACCCCTGGATCCGGGCCCCGGGGTCCCACACTGCCCCTTGGGTCAAAGCCCCGGGGCAGGCCGCTCTGACCTTGCCCCCCTCTTGGACCCGCAGTCACAGCCAAGTGGTGGGGCAGCAAGCGCATAGACTACGCCCTGTACTGCCCCGACGTCCTCACCGCCTTCCCCACCGTGGCCCTGCCCCACCTCTTCCACGCCAGCTACTGGGAGTCCACGGACGTGGTGGCCTTCATCCTGAGACAGGTACTGCCGTCCCTTCTTGGGAGGGCCCATCCTTCTGGGGGGGAGAGGCTGACCTCGCGGGCCACGTTGGACACTGGGAAGGCCCCGAGGCGCGGCGAGTCGGGGGCTGACCTGGACAGACAACGGTTTTCCTAAGGAACGCTGGCTTCTGGCCAATGGCGTGGTACCTTTCTAGAAAATTAAATAGACACCACGTAGGAGAATGTACCTATGTTTCAACTTGGAGACTGGAGTCATCATGCCTGTTCCCCTGTGGGTCTCAAGGTCCTCGTCTCTAAAATAGGTGGAGAGAGAGGCCAGTGACTGAGGGAGAGCCTGGGGGGGTAGTAGTGGCTGGGAGGTGAGGGTCGGATCACGTGCACCCTCCACGGCCAAGGTCAGAGGGGGATTTTATACTGGGTCCGATGAGAAGCCACTGCAGAGTTTTGAGTAAGGGAGAGATACTGATATTTTAGAAGGAAGTCCTGTAGCTGCTGTTTGGAGGGCAGGAGAGCAAGCGTGAGGCCCCGCTATGAGGCAAGCGTGGGATCCCAACCTTGAGGTGGCGGCTTGGGCTAGGAAGCTGGTGGCAGAGGTGCCGAGGAGCTGCCGGGTTTGAGGTGTGGTGACAGGACCTGCTGACATTCGGGCTGCGAGGGAAGGACGGG